CGCGCGTGCACGCGCGTGGCGCACGCATGCGTACTAGCGTCTGTGCAATGCTCCAGCTGCTCCTGGAGGATCGCGCAGGCGCTGTATGCGTCCTGCGCATGCGTGGAAGCGCAGAATTCGTCAAAACCGGGTAAGGAGCGGGCGCGGGTGCGCGCGGGCGCGGGTGGGCCCTTCGCCGTTCCCGGAAGTTACTTACTTTCGGGTTCGGCGACCAACCGGTTCGCAGGGACCGCCGCGAACCGGTTGAAACCCAGCCCTGCCCGGTCCCTTGCTGTTTCCAGGGTGGCTCCCACAGACCAGATCTAAGCACCCCATAGGTTGGATCCAGCTCGCGGGCCTTGAGTTTGACACCCCTGATCTAGGTGAAATATCAGACGGTCTTTTGCTTTAAATTAGTTTTTTAGTTACAAGATCAAAGTCTTAGCCAGTGAGCCACCACATCCCTGTAAAAATTAATGGTATCATATCTCTTAATCCTTTGTCAGCCACAGCTGCTGTCTTACAGTCCTGCAAGAGTTAACAAGGAATGGAGCCTTCTAAGAGAAGTTGCCATAAGTATTGGTGCTCAAACTACAATTTTCCTTTCTTAAAAGCATTTCAGTTGCACCTCCTTTTGACCACAAAAGAACAGGCTACGCACTTTTTAGGGGAAGTTATGATTGTATCAGCCGAGGAAAGGAATATGGGTGTGGTGTCACATTTCCTAAAATAAAAGTTGAGGGAGGAAAGCTGGACCCATTCGCACAGTACATTTCTCTGCTCTGCTGCGTCAAACCCTTTTCGTCCAGCTTTCGGTCTGCTTCACTTTGGAGAGGCAGCTAAACCATGCAGAGGTGGGTTCCTACCAGTTCGGTTCGGGCGAGTAGGTAGTAACTTGGCCTGCCACGCCTCCGAACTGGTTCTCTCGGCGGCACCAATGGTGCCATCATCTTTCTTCTGCTTCTGCGCATGCGCAAAAGCATTTTTAAAAGTACTGGGCATGCGCATGGCGCATCCCTGAGCAAACCCACCCCTGATACTGTGCTTCCCCCAAAATAAGACAGGGTCTTATTTTCTTTTGACCCCAAAATAAGCACTTGGCCTTATTTTCACGGAGGTCTTTTTATTTTTGAGGTACAGGAGGCGGCGAGCATGGTTACCTCACGGCTGCTGCTGTGTTCCAATATTTTTGGGGAGGGCTTATTTTAGTGCATGTGCTCAAAAGCCCAATTGGGCTTATTATCCAGGGAGTTCCTATTTTCAGGGAAACAGGGTACCAATCTATTCTGCCCTATCTCGAAGGCTGGGGATGATGGAAATTATAACTCAAAGCATTGCGGGGAGATACAAGATTAGAAAAGGCTGCCTCAGGACAAACTGTTTGCCCCCACTAAAAGCAGATAAGAATTTCTTCCTCAACAACAAAATTGTATTGAAATGTTAGGGGTTGTGCAGCTGCATCTGTAGAATTATTGTAAGAATACAAAATCTGATAGTCGCTTGTTTCTTCTATCATTGCCACTTTTTTTACACCACCACACCCACATCTGATAATCAAGATTCTCAGAATGCCAAAAGGAAGTTTAGATTAGAAATGATTCCACTTCCTTCTCTTTCCTAACTTTCCTCCTGCGAACAACGAGGCTAATAACGTCATGAAAGGAATACATGATGTGCCCTTCAGGAAATGTGTACGATGAAGGATGCAGGAAATATAGTCAGTAATCCAGAAATGGGTATTTTATTGTCGGGGTGCTGGGCTGATAGAATGGGACTACTGGCCATGGCCAATTGTCCTAGAGCCAGGAGTGGGCTTCAAAAATTGCAACAATGAGTTTGTTGCCCTATTGATGGGTGGGCGTGGTCATGATGGGAGTGGCCTAGTCAGCCTCCTGCATCGCGTTGGAAGGAGGGGGCGTTTTCACCTTCCCCAGGCTTTCCTCGAGCCTCTGGGAGGGCGAAAACTGCTTCCCCCTGGGCTCCAGAGACTCTCTGGAGGCTGGAAACAGGCCCATTTCTGGACCTCTAGAACCTCTGGTAGGCCCATTTCCCCCCTGCCCCAAGCTTCCGTGCAGCCCTTGCACATACCTAGCATTACAAATGGGCTCTGTGGAAACTCCTGGGACGGGCAGGATGGGAGGGGCAGGCCAGGCGTGGACAAGCAGGGTGGCATTTGGTGGTTCGCCGAACTGGGCAGAATCCTAGCTAGAGGATCACCCGAACCCGTGTGAACCCCCAGCAGCCCATCCTTGCCTAGATCCCTATGTAGAAGACTACAGAATTCACAGAGTTTGAGTCTTTTATTTCAAACTTCCGACTCCTCATTCTGGAGTGTGTTTAGAAAAGCCATGAACGTTTGGCTCTTCACCCTTTGGTGAGAGAAAGTGAGACCCCCCCCTTGTTTCATCACACTTGTCATCTACGGAGCTCCGAAGCAACCTTTAAGAGGCCTTGCAAGCCAGAGGTCTTACCCTTCTTCTCCACAAAAGCTTTTCTCTTGGGAAGTTTGACATGGTTGTTTTTTCCCCCCACAGATCGTCCAAGAATGCCGGTTTTCAACACCACCCAAACTCACAGGAGAGGCTCCATACTCTCTCAAGGTACTTTAGGATCAGTGGTGAAATTTAAATTTTTTTTTTTTTCTACCGGTTCTGTGGGCGTGACTTGGTGGGCATGGCAGGGGAAGGATATTGCAAAATCTCCATTCCTACCCCACTTGGGGGCCAGCAACCATAGGTGGTATTTGCTGGTTCTCTGAACCACTCATAATTTCCACTACCGGTTCTCCAGAACCTGTCAGAACCTGCTGAATTTCACCCCAGTTTAGGATGCAACTATGCGCAGGGTTCCTCTCTTTTCTGAAGGATGCCACTGGCTGGCTTGACCAAGACTCTCCCATGGAAATGATGGACGCTTTAACTCTGGTTTCAGGTTGCTTCAAGGAGCTGCCCAGTGGCTCTGAGTTGACAGCCCAAGAAGGTGACTCATTGGAGCTGTTCTGCCAAGCAGATAGCAACCCTCCAGCCACAACTAGTTGGGAGAAAAGAAACGGTCACTTGCAGAAGCCTCTAGATAACCAATTGAGACTGACCAACCTGACTGTTGAAGATGAGGGTGTCTATGTGTGCACTGCTACAAACGTGCTCGGCATGGGCCAGGGGTTCTTCCGGCTCTCTGTGACCTGTGAGTGAATCGTCATCCTCTAGAAGGAAGATATTGAAGCTGTTGACTGCTTGAGCTTTATGACATTCTTCATCCTTGGTATTCTGACCCAGGTTTCCCAAGAGCATGAAGCAAACTCCTTGTCCCAACAAAAGCCCCTTTTCTTAATTGACTGTGAATTCTGCTCATTCCCATCCAGCAAAGTCTTTCAAGGGAGGATTTACAGTCACAGACCTTCTCTGTCTTGGAGAGCTGCCAGGCCGATATCTGCAAAACTTGGCTCATAGAGTCACGAACTAATTAAAGCGAACTAATGGTCTCCTGCAATCTCCACTCCCCT